CCCCAAAACCCCAAAACCCCAAAACCCCAAAACCCCTTATAGCATATAAAATTGTTTTGGCCTTATAACTAATTTATAATATGTCTTCAAACAAGCTTATTGCTGGTGTGATCGGAGTTGGCGCTATTGCCGCTGCAGGAGTTGGACTCTACTACCTCCTTCAAGATGATGAGATTGAGGTAGAATATGACCCAAAGATCCATAATAAGGAGCTCTTGTTAAGCCTTTTCCAAGAATTTGAGGTTGAATACGCTTCTTTATATCTTCATTGGCACTCAATGCTCAAGGCCAAGGAGAAAGAAGTCGGTAAAGGCAAAATCGACAAATTTGCATTGGAGAAGTTTGAAGAACAAGTTAGACAACTTACTGAGCAAGTTGACGAAGAGATTTTTGGCCAAAATAAGCTAAATTCTCAAGTTTTTGATAAAATGTTGGAAGCCAATAAGGATGACGCTGCTGTCAAGAAGTTCCAAGACAATATGGAGAAAAATTATAGCAAACTTATGAACGTTGAGAGACCAGAATTCCACTTCGAATTCCCAAAAGAACTTACTAAGGAGGATTATCTCAAATATTTAAAACTTTCTTATGCCAAGTTCAGATATGAAATCTATCATGAAGTACAAAAAGTTATGAGAGAGACTGGCCAGCAGAGAATCACAAAAGAACAGTTTGATGGAGCAATCAAGAAGGTCTCCCTTCCTTCTGTCAAGGAGCAAGCATACAAAAAGTTGAATTTCCCTGAAGTGCCAGGGGAGAAAACTGGAAAGACAGCCTTGAAGGCCTATCTAGTTCATATGCAGAACGATGAAATCTGGTCAAGTGAAATCCTATCTCTCCAGAAATCCCATAAAGAAATTCTATTCCAGATTCCCGAGGGAGGAAGAATCGAAGGAATGCATGAGGATCCACTAGAAGTCTTCGATAGGGAGAGAGAATATGAAAAGCAATTCGATAAGAAAAAGAGTGCCACCGATGCCACCCATGCTACTATTGAAAGTCAGAAATCTCTAGATATGTCAGCAGAGTCAAAGAAGGGAAATGGTTCTTTCTCATTTTTGGGCAGCCAAAAAGACCAGCAAAAACTTGTCCAAGAGTTCCTAAATCGTAATAAGAAGACTGATGAAATTAAGGAAGTAGCTGAAGAAGACAACCAGGATGACAAGCCTGAAGAGGAACAAAAGAAAGCCCCTGAAGAAACTAAGGAGGTAAGCCAGTATTTTAACCTAATTTGACTAATTTTTAGGAGAAGATCAAAGAAGCTCAAGAACCAGAAACTGTAGAGAAGCCTAAATCTGAAGCCGAGGAGGATTCTCCTAAGGTTGAAGATGAAGACGAGGATGATAATAAGGAAGATGCTTCTCCTGAAGATGACAATAAGGAAGATGCCTCTCCTGAAGATGAGAATGAAGCCGACAATGAAGAAGACAGCTAAAGTATTCGTGAAGTTAAAAAACTTTAATAATATTATACCAACAAGGGAACCGCACAAGGGGTTTTGGGGTTTTGGGGTTTTGGGGTTTTGGGGTTTTGGGG